AAAAAAAAAAAGAAAAAAAAGAAAAAAAAGGCGCGCCCCTCCCCCCCGGGGGAGTTCAAAAAAAAAAGAAAAAAAAGGCGCGCCCCTCCCCCCCGGGGGAGTTCAAACGTCGCAACACCCACCCCCRCCGCTGATTGGGCAGCGCTGGGTGACGTCACAATGCCCAGCCCCGCCCATTGGTCCCCGCCGCGGTCCGTCACATCCCGCGCCCGGGCGCGTTTCTTTGTGCGCGGCCGCGGGCGCTCCAGACAGCGCGCACGGAGCCGGCGCGCACGTACGGGCGGGGAGGGGGGGAAAGGGGGGAATCTGTCAAGCTCAGCGGTTTTCTCAAATCCCTGACAAAAAAAAAAAAAAAAAAAAAAACGGGAAAAAAAAAAAAAAAAAAGCAGCTGCGGCGCAGCCCTGCGCGCCCGCGCTTCCTCCGCGCCCAGACCCCGCGCAGACAATAGCGAAAGCGTGGGAATCGGGTTAAAAATACAAAAAACAGCGTTTGAGCGGCGCCGCGTCCCACGGGCAGGGATAAGAGGGATAACACGGATAACAGTGCAAGAAAAACTTTGCGGGCTCTGGCGGTTGGCGGCACTTTTTTTTTTTCGCAATTTTTAATATTTTTCATGGCTAAAATCGACTCGCGGCYGTTGGGAACCGGAAGGGAAAACCCGCTGCAGCCAACTGCCGCCGGCTCTTAGGAGGGATGTGTTGGGATTTTTTCTTCCCCTKGGTTTTKGGGGTGATTTGGGGGTTTTGGTGGCTGCGGCGCGGGGCGAGGTGGGGGTGCCCGAGCGCTGCCGCTGCCTCTCATCGCTCTGCCGGGTGGGCTCCAGTGCCCGGGACTTTGCAGAAGTTACGACCGATTCGGCAGCCGCCCGCCCACCTCCCTCCTCCTCTTCTCCTCCACCTCCTCCTCCTCCTCCTCCTCCTCCTCCTGCCCCCCGCCCCCGCGTATTTCCGCAATCGCCGCGATTCGCACAGGAGACCCGCACCGGTGGGCGGCGGGGCTCACGGACATCCCCGCACACCCCCGCACCCCCGGCCGGGCGGACAGCCCCGCTGCGGGCCCGCAGTGTCCCGCCCCCGCCGAGCCCCCTCCCATCCGCGGGGATCCTGCGGGGTAACCCCCCGATCCTGCATGGATAACCAGCCCTCCCGCACGGGTAAAACCTCCTTCTGAACGGGGAACCCCCTCTTTTCCCCCGCACGGTGAACCCCCGCCTCCGCACGGGTACCCCACCATGCGCACCCCCAGCACKGGCAGCTTTCCCCGGCGCGGGGAACCCCCGTCCCATGCACCAGCAAAGCTGCTCTGCCGCACGGGCAAAGTTACCTGGCACTGGCAAACCCCCAAATCCTCCTTTGCACGCCCACCTTTGCACCCCCCGAGCTTTGCAAGCCCCCTCCGCTTCCCCCCTCCCCGGTGCGGTGAAGGTGCGGGGCCCCCCCCGGCCGGGCGAGCCCCCGGCGGGGGAAGGACCGATCGTCCCCGCAGCTCAGCCGTGCCTGGCAGCGATGCAGCAGCCGAGCTGCAAAGTCTCCAACTTACACGGCACCCCTAAAATAGTCCTGATTTCATCCCTGAAAGGATTTCCTGCCTTTGTGTGTCTTAACTAGCCTTGGCCATTTTTGTAGAATAACCCCATTATTCACAGCTCCGAGGGTACAATCTGCTAAAGTCACTTAATAAAAAAAAAAAACAAAAACCAAAAAACCAAAAAAAAACCCACCACACAGAGGAGAAAGAGAAACCTTCAAAGGGCGTGAGAAATAAAGGCAAACAAACAATTGTCTGTGGCTCTCAGCTCCCCTTGATCGTGGATACCCGCTTCATTAACAGGAGAAGCATTATATGCTTAAAACTGGAAGCCTCAAGATGCGTGATAATACTGCAAAATTAATTTGGGGGGGGGAGAGCAAATGGATCTGAAGGTTAATTGCTATTTTTTGACAACAAAGTAAGACTTCAACTCACACAACTCATAAGGAGTGGTGTGGTTACCCCTCCGAATTTACTGCTTATAATCGACTCGAGCAGGTATTTAAAGACACAGAGGTTGCAGCTGCGGCGCATTGAGTACAGATATGAAAAAAAAAAAAAAAAAAAAGAGTAAGAAAGTAAAAATCCCTGAGATAGTGATTTTCAGTTTGCAGTTTGGGAGCCCCCAGACCGCGCGCCGGTGATGGCGCAGCTCCGTCTGCGGCGACGCGTTTGAACCTCCCGGCAGCGGCTCTGCTTTCCTGGTCACCTCCTGGTGACCCCTTGGAAGGAGAGCGCCAGTTCCCAGCGGTCTGCAGACCACAGGTTGGAAACCACTGGTTTTGCATAAACTTGCGTTATTCGGCGCAGGCTTAGGTCGCGAGGGCTCCTCTTAGCAAATTGTCGAAGGATGATGTGTACTGCATAAATTAAAACATCATGTCCCCTTGCCATGTGAAAGCATTATTAAAAGAAGCATAATAAGGGATTTCCACCATGTTATCAAGCGTACAAAGAGAACTCCGAATGGGAGGGATGGCTGTCATCGGGGTAGAACAAGCTGGGATTTTGGAGAGGCTTGAGAAGCGCTTTGAATAGCCCGTCAGTTGGACAAGGATCAGCGCTGACAATAGCCGGGCTATATGTGGTATGGCCTGTTAACATACAGCAGCGATCATTAAAGGCCTGAGACAGACAACGGGGCTCTCCTGGGCYCTGAGTGATGTTGGTGGCTTTGGGAGAGCCACCGTGGCTGCCCTGGGAGCAGCTTCACCCTGCTGAGAGCCAGAAGCCCCCGGAAATCACCAGGGTTGGTCCTGATTCTCTTGCCATCAAGATCTTAGAGCCACACGCTGCTGACTCACATCTCCAATAKCCTCAAGTGCCAATATGGTTGATGCAAATCAATCCCCAGATGTTTCTCTGTTGTCCCATKACCCACKATGGAATTATCCACAAATCCCTGTRGAAATATCATGRAGGAGCAGTKGGTCAGTGCTGTTCCTAACCTGGTCCCACCATCTGCCATGTAGTCAACAAAATTCTGAAGCCACCAAAAATGAGAGTGTTCTGTAAAGATCTCTCCATGGAGAGATTGCTTTTTTATTCCATRTGAGAAATGGGCATAAYGGGGTTTTCCTTCTTAGTTTAAAGGATCCAGATCCTAAAATAAAGTTCCCCATAGAAGGAGTATTGGAACTAGATGATACCTCATGTTTCTTATAAGACACTCCATGGTTCTGTGATAAATCAACACCATGAACACTGTGTCATCCTGAAACAGGAGGGTAGAACTTTCAACCCCCAGACTCCAAATTTCAGGGAGTAAATTAAAAAAGCAGGGTAGTACATTTGATGGAAATCCTCACCTTATTCCACTAAATATGTGAATAATAATGTTTWTCCATGCAATATTTTCCGTCCATCGCCACGGAGAGCAGGGAGGAAGAAGAAATGCTGCAGTCCCTATCTGGCAGATGAAGACGGCTGCACCATTTGGGGTCCGGGCCATGGGAGCATCGCCAAACCCACATTCATGTGGGGAATTAAAGCAGTTGTGCTAACGGCGAGTGGGAATAAGCACACTAAAAATTGGTCAGTCTTTGTGTGAGAAGTCCTGCTTTAACCGTGAGCT